ATCTGCCTCAGAATAAGCCCCGTTGGAAATGGTAATGAATATTCGAATTTCATAACCATTTCTCAGTCTGTTAAGGCGCGTCCACATTACTCGTGCTCGTGCGTCAGAAGCTTACTGCTGCCGGAAAATCAGGATCTGGAGCTGATATCTGTTGTGAAGAAATGCGAAGGCTTTGTATGCAAACCAGTTTGGGCGTCCACTTCATCAGCTCCAGATCCTGATTTTCCGGCAGTAGTAAGCTTCTGACGCACGAACACGAGTAATGTGGACGGGTCTTTACAGAAATAACGGACTAATATAAGACCGCCTTCATCTGGGCGAAGAAGCCGAAATATTTTAAAATATGATACCATAAACCCACGCGATCGGGCCGTAATGAGTCAACGGCTCAGTAGCATGCAATCTGAACATTTAATACAATGCTATACTATCAATTTCGTCTTCCATATGAGGTCACGTGGATAAGCCGTCTGAAATGTCTGTCACTGTGAACATACAGAAGACTAAGACGAACTTGGCCAAACGATCTCCAGCAAAACTGAGGCGTAATCGATGGATTACAGCTCTTCAAGCCAACTTAGTACAAAAGAATAATTATTGTATATGACAGCAAATTAGCTTATAGAATGCAAATTCAGATTGCTAATAAATGAGAAAAAAAATAAAAAATAAATAAAAAAACTATGAACATTAGCACGGGCCTTCGGAAGGAAATGACTGCAAATGACTCGCCTTTGTAAGATGCTTCTTTGGTTCATGTCTTATGGTGTAGGAACAAGAAAAAACGGTAGTTGCTACGTTCAAGAATAGCATATAGAATGCTGTATATACAAATAAGCAGTAAATAATAATAGTTTATAGAGTGTTTGTTATGTAAATTGATATATGAATTTTCATACTGCAGATTTCTGGAACCAACATTAAAAAAAAATGAGAAAAGAAAAAAAGTCACAATGTAATTTACTCTCACGACAAGCACCGGAGAATTATGCAGTTATTTTCATTAATGAACATACTGTTCTATGTAGTAATACTTCTAAGATACGACCAGTATCAAAAAAGAGAACATTTATGGATAAATATGGAAATATTTGACTTATCTTAATGTACTATTTCTGAAAATTTCTGGAGAAACTGAGGAAAAGCATAAAGAACTTCAGCTAATCTGAGAGATGAGATCTGAACCCGGAGTCTTCAGATACGGAAAAGTACTAACTAGTATACCCCGATATTCTCTACAAAGACGATAAATCTGTACTTGGAACTAAAGTACTTGTCTGCCGAAAAGTATGTTCGATAATTGGCTGTCAGTTTATCTGTGTATTCAGTTGAGAATTTATGTTTCAAAGGGAAGATAATAGCCGCGAATAGGACTGTTTATTAGACTTGGATAATTTGAACGTCATATAAACGTGTATCTGCATATGTTACTAACAGATGAAGCTGTTTAAAGCAAGGCAACCAAACTACGACGTAAATTGTCTACTCAAAGCTGGCTGACGCTGAAAGCAAATGAGATCCAGATTCAATTCTGACTAGGTTGAGAGAAATATTTTATCAAACCGAAACGTTGAAAGGAATTTTTATAATGAGAGGCCCCTGAAAATACGTGTATAGACCCAAGTTCAGCCCCAAGATATGGTGAGAAAAATATTTCACTCGATTCAAATCACTGAAAGTAAAAAGTACATTCTAAAGGGATCTGACGATGATGTATAACAAACAGAATTACTGGGTTCTTGGATATTTCATTCTTCCAGTAGTCCAGAAATAGAAAACAGGACGTTTCGGAAACTGGATCTGTTTCCGTCTTCAAATGGTGGGGGGAAGACATCTACTCAGCTGGGCCCCTCTGAGATTAGCTCTTTCTAAGGGGCCCAACTCAGTAAGTGTCTTCACCCTCACTTGAGGACGGAAACATATCCAGTTTTCGTTTTCTATTTTCTAAAGTAACGGACGATGAATAAGGTCCAAACCCCCGTAATTCTGTTCCCTGAATAGAATATTCGTAATTTCATACAAAGGAACGTCATGACCTCGATCCACAGCGATACGAGTAACAGAAGGATAATGGAACTTAGAAGCCTTCTTAATTCGTCTGAGGAGAATGTTAACTTGCGACAATACACTGGGAAAACGGTGTTGTTGTCCTTCAATATGCCGGAATTCTTCTAGATGCACTGAAGAGACTCATGAAAACTGAGTATGGAAGACCGTACTCGGACAGAAACTTAAAAAGTTACTTTCTGAATAATATTAAGTTATATTTTAATAACATGTATAATGTTTTAAGCATATTTGGACCGAAAAGGTATGAAGTGACAGGAGGTTGGAGAAAACTGCACAATAAGGAGCTTCATAACTTGTACTCTTCTCCAAGTATAATTAGAATGATCAAGTCAAGGAGGATGAGGTGGGCAAGGCATTTAACACGAATGGGGGAGACGAGAAATGCGTATAGGATATTGGTGGGAAAGCCAGAAGGAAAGAGATCACTGGGGAGACCAAGGCGTAGGTTGGTGGACAATATTAAAATCGATCTTCGAGAGATGGGATGGTGTGGATTGGATTGATCTGGCTCAGGGACCAGTGGTGGGCTCTTGTGAACACTGTAATGAACTTTCGGGTTCCATAAAATGCTGGGAAATTCTTGAGTAGCTGTAGAATTGGCGGCTCCTCCAGAAGGGCTCAGCTCCATGAGTAAGTAACTAAGTAAGTAATGTTTTAAGCAGTGACGGAGAGTGACCGTGCCAAAACAGTAAGTCAAATTCTGTACTCATTTCTGTTAGAGGCGCATAATAAAGATGTTGAGGAGTTTCTCCTGAGTCTTCATGCTGCATAGATCAGAGAATGTCCTCTACGCAGGCGCAGTAGTAGGTGGAATCTACATCAAGTCAGATATTATGGCTTATGCTAATGAGATAGATTTTCAGCGATAAAGTTTCTGAGTTCTGAAATATTACTTTGTAAGAATTCTTCTGACGAACAAATAAATTAAACTTTAGTTTTGAGAAGAATAAAATTAAAATACGGTCCGTGTGGTTTCAATTACTATTCATTAACAGTAGCTGGAAGTTTTATACAGTTTTTAAAGGTTACAAATTCAAGAATTGAAAGAAATTTTAGCCTGAGAACTTCGGAGAATTGATTGGTCAACTGTCCTTTAATACCGCCGATCATCATTACCCAATGATATTCATTGTCGCTTAGCCGAAAATTCTGAGAGTTCTATGTCTCTATATGAGCAGATCTAATTTTCTGAATAAATTTTCGAAGCTCTTGTGCTGCTCTGTTAGAGATAGTTCTGAAATTCTTGCACTTTCCTGGAACAGCAACTAGTGTCTTAATTTTGCTTACTTTACTTTACAGTTTACTTTACCTTACTTTACAGTTAAAATATTGTACAATATTCTCATAGACATTTTGGGGTGTCACCGAAAGTACGAACAGTTAGGCCGATTAAAATGTTTTTAAATAAAATCTACAGTAAAATTCACATAGGTAAATATTTGTCTCGTAATTTTCCTATCAAAAATGGGCTAAAACGAGGAGATGCTTTATGGCCATTGCTTTTCAACTTTACTTTAGGTTATGCCACTAGGAAAGTTCGTAAAACCAAGTAAGACTGAAATTAATTAGGACACATCAGACTCCGGTCTACGCTCATGGTGTAAATAAATTGGGAGATAACATCGATACTATAAATAAAAAGCACAGAAACTCTAATTGGCGCTAATAAGGAGGGTGGCCTAGAAGTAAACACAGAGAAAATTATGTTGCTGTCCTGTCCCCAGAATGCAGGGCTAAATCATGACATAAAAATAGCTAACATATCCTTTGAAAACATGGAACATTTCAAATAATTAGGAACGACAGTAACAAACCAAAATTTGATTCAGGAAGAAATTAAGAGGAGATTGAATTGAGACAGTACTTGCTACCATTCAGTGTAGAACCTTTTGTCTTCTCGTCTGCTGTCTAAAAACTTAAAAATTAGAGTATAAAAAATAATTTTGCTTGTGGTTCTTAAACTCGGTCTCTGACACTAAGGGAGGTACATATAGTGAGGGTGTTTGAGAATAGGGTGTTGAGGAGAATATTTAGAACGAAGAGGGATGAAGTGGTAGGAGGTTGGAGAAAACTGCATAATGAGGAACTTCATAACTTGTACTCTACTCCAAGTATAGTTAGAATGATCAAGTCAGGGAGGATGAGATGGAGAGAGCAGGTAGCATGAATGTGAGAGAAGAGGAATGCATATAGGATTTTAGTAGGAAAGCCAGGAGAGAGACTACTAGGAAGACCTAGACGTGGGTGGGAAGATAACATTAAGATGGATATTAGAGAGATAGAATTGGGTCGTACGGACTGAAATTGTCTGGCTGAGGATAGGGACCAACTCTTGCGAACACGGTAGTGAACCTTTGGATTCAGCGAAATATTGGGAAATTTTTGAGCAGCTGCACAACTAGCTGCTTCTCAGTAAAGACGCGGTTCCATGGAGTTAGTTTAGAAACTTTCCTGTATTGCGGTGGTACTCCTGAAAACACTTTCAAGTAAAAAATAAAGTAACAGTCTTGAATATCAAGATATTTCCAAGCAGAAAAGCGCGTTTCACCTTTCCGTTCTTGGCTGTTTGCTCTGAGAGCACCTAACAGCTTAAGTCTGTTAATGTTTTCCTTTTGGGTGATATATGGAGCTGGAGGTAGCTTGGAATACAATGGACTACCTCCTCACCTCACTCGCCTATACTATATCGTGTCTTTTCTAATTGCGCCTTTGCCCAGAGACGGCTAGAGTAAGCTGCAGGTAGATGGCTAACAAGCCGACGATTTGGTTAATGGAGATGAAAGGCAATGTAGCATCTGATCTCTTCTACTGCCCAATTAACTACGATAGTAACATTTTTATTTCTTAATCGGGCTAACACGGTAAACACGAAAGCTCTGAAATTGGTTTTACTCTACTGCTGTATAATCACAAAATAAATATGTACTCACCTGACACCCAGGTGCCATTGAAGCGCCGTGCTCTGTAGTGTGGCCCCAACACATCGTCCAATGTGAACTTTCGACCTTTAACCCGAGGCCCTTCCTCCGGAGGAGACAAGAGGACTATGGAGAACACGATGAGACCGAGGACGGCCACTATGACGAGCAAAGCGATCAGTATGCCCCGCCAGTTGCGCTGGTTCGGCGTCGAGGCGACTAGTTCCTGCAATAAAAACGAAAAATTAAAATAAAAAGCAAGGGAGAGGAAGTACAGGTTATTTGGGCCTAGCGCATCTGTCCGAACTTGTTCTAATGATAAAGCCTTAGCAAATGTGCATCTTTATAGTTCCGTAATCAGAATCTCTTTCATCGAGTTTCGTTCTATCATTGTACGTTATTGTTCTTCGTGAATATTGCAAAGAGTTAGGTCTCAGGACATATTCCTTTAAAGCTCAAGTTGTTCGCTATCTTTTTGTCTTTTCCTGGGACTTGCATTATCCTGTCATCCCCGGGGTTGATACCAATAGCCTTATTTTTATTGTAGAATTCCTTGTTTGAACAATGATGACAGAGTGGTCCAAAATAACATTTTTCACGTTTATACAATACAATCGCTTCAGCAATAGTATGCCTATATCAATGACATCTGATACGTTATTATGTAATCATTTCTGTATTTTATTCTCAATGCAATTTCTTTCACGTCCTGTGTAATAAATAAATTAAAGTAGTGTAACGTGGATGGCGCAACGGGACGTAGGGGTCACGTGAACTCTGCGGTCTCGTGAGTGACGTCACATAGCCCCACCCCTTCCATTATTACGCAACGTTCGGTAAACACTCCGTCGCCTCCCGCGGTGACGTAACAGCACTTCCCATTGTGACGTAACAGGGGACACCGCGGTTACTACTCAGCAATAAACAACTCTCGGCAGCGTTCCCCTGCAACGCTTGTAAACACGTTGTTACGCAGCGGTGGTAGCTATCACGTAACTGTTTTCTGTGTTGTCAGTGCGGAAGTTAGTAGAGTAGTGAGTATTGAGCCAGTTACTAGCGAGAGAGAGTAACCGGTCAGTTGCAGTGAATTGTGTAAATGTATGAGCGAGTGGAATAAATTCGCTATATCCAAGAAAGACGTGAATTTATTTGTCGCGTGATACATACTCAGCACGTGACAGTATACTACATAATTGCTCGTGGCCATAAGTATAGTGTATAAATGAATCCCAAATAAGACGAAACTAAAGCTTAATTGAAATTATGCTATGCTATTGTCTTTTCCACTTATTTGTGTAATTGTTAGTGTGAACTCTTTATAAAATATTGGTAAGAGTGACAAAATCAACGACAACGAGAACAACGGGACACGCAATATGCATGGAAAAGTTGAAGAATGGAATTAAAATTTTAGTTCAAAATCTTGAATAAAGAGACCATTTGGTGGGTCCCAGAAGAAATTGAATAATAATATTAAAATTTATCTTAAAGAATCAGGGCGTAAAGTTGTGGAGAGGGTTCAACTGGTACAGGATAGCGTAAAATGACGAGATACTTTGAAAGAGTTAAAGAAATTTCGTGTTCCATGAAAGGTGGGGAACTTCTTGATTGCCCGAGCTACTGTCAGCCTCCAAGGATCAAACAAATCTGAGAACACAGATTTCTTCTGGTCCTAGCGATTGACAACATCCTAGGTAATACCAGAAGTTGTTTTCATTTCTGTATCAAGTAGAAAAAGTACCAACCTGAGAGTGAGTTTGTCACCCTCGCCATTAAAATTGTATGTACATTGCAGATAATTTTGTTTGCAGAACATCCTGTAAACAGACTCCAATAGCTTTGCTTACACCATTAACTCCTTTCACTTGGATTCATATTTGTGCTGTGGGACTGAGGTATTTTATGGAGCCGCAAAAGTTTAAGTCCGCATCTCAGTTAATCAGAACAATTTGTAACAAACTTTGCAATGATGAAACACATTACAGTGACCTTGAAGGGCACTTGCAGATCTACATCCAATTCCGGAAGTTATCTCTTCAATGACACAGACTCAAAAGATTTGGAAATATAATATTAATAAACTAATCAGCGTTTCCCTTTTAATATTTTGTGATAGTTTACACAAAGATGTGTGACATATGGAAAACATTTTCATCATCTTTAAGTTACATTTTTTGCTGTGCCTAAAACACTACGGCTGAGTGCTGCTGGTAAAAACCTAGGTGTGATGCATCATCAGTGTGAGGAGTGTTATCAGTTATATTGAACTCTTAGTTCGTTGTGGGGGGAGGTAAAATTGATGACATTTCTCAATTTCATTACATCAATGAAAAAGAAATCATGTTTCTTGAAGAAAAAAGCGTCGATATTAACGTATTCCTGGGGGGGGGGGGGACGGAACAATGCGACATTATGGATCATCTCTATCGGCGGTTTGAAATACACGGCACAAAAAGTTTTACGACACTCCGATCCCAGCTGTCGGGAGCTAAATGAACAATACAGTGCAATGAATATTTCGTTTTCAGAATGAGAAGAATAGCAATTCACTTTTCATTTGCCAGGACTGCATTTCAATTACATTTTTATTTCTCCCAGTCAAGACAGAGACCTGGCAAATTACAGCAGTAAAATACCGTTGTAATATTATTCTGTTATGTGAGACGGTAGCATTTCTGCCGCATTTTATTAAAAAAAAAAATCGGTAAAATTTTCCACAGGTAGGCCTAGACAGACCAATAAATACTCATATATATATATATACATGTGTATATACATATATACCTATATGTTTATAGAAAAAGAATATTTTAGGCACGCATGAAATGTTATGTTTCAAAATTTAATTTATATACGGCCAAGAAATTATTCAATCCTTTGTTAGTTCAAAATGCCGTGTTGTGTTACGAACATAAAGAGATATACCACATAAGATGTAGGACTGAGGATTTCACTAACTGACTGACTGACTAATGCCATGGAGGCGAGTCCTTCACCAGAAGCTATCAGTCACTCAGTTGCTCAAGATTTTCCCCAAATGTTATTGTATCCGAAAGTTCATTACAATGTTCACAAGATCCCGCCACTGGTCTCTATCCTGAGTCACTGAATCCATTCCACACCGCCTCGTTATATTTCTCCAGAATCCATATTGTTATAATCCTCCCACTTACGTCTAGGTCTTCTTAGTTGTTTCTTTCCTTCTGGCTTTCTCACCAAATCCCTCTATCAAATATTCTTCTGTCCTGTGTTTGCTACATGCTCTCCCATCTATCCTCCGTGACTTGGTTGATCTGATTATGTACTTTATTTGAAGAACTTGTGGAATTTCGGTACTCGAAAGCAAATTCTTTTTCCATTCCAATGACTGTTTCTTATTCCAATACTTTCTTACAGGGCTCGTCAGATTAAACCCTAGTAATATTTAAACGTGTATCTGACGTGGTTAGAACTGTTATTCTGAGGAACACGACATCTGCTGACCGTTCTCTTGTGTATTAAGAGAAAACTTTACCGAAGAAAAGTCAGTCAGGACAACAACATGAACACAGAAACATCCGATACACAACATATCTGAAATACAAGGTTGTCTGCAACTTCAGACTAACACTATTTCTTGTCTTCATCCTTCACTTCCCTTCTTCCTTTCCTTTATCCCTTTTATACGTTTATCACGTTCTCACCTATCTTTTTTAAAGCACGAAATTAAGTTGTCTTTTTATTCTTCAGATCACACAGTTCCGAACAGAGCTACCACCTATATAAATATATGGAAACTACTACGGCGTGTGAACGACATATCATACATACACAGTCAGATAAGACACCTACATAACAACAACCCCGTTCCTATTTTATACGGGGATACTGGGAGCAGCCTCTGACTATAGCTGAGTGAAAAGTGTATTGGTCGCCTGATGGTTACCGCCTGGTCTATGTGCCGCTGCAGTCCTGAAACTGGACCTTGGCGAAAAGTAGGTGAATGAAAGAAGGGCACCCCCAGACCACTGGTGGGTAAATTAGGGCAAGCTTCCGTCCCCTCTCAGCATTCTTTCAGGGAATAAAAAAAGGTAAAGCTATCCCTGTAACAGGCCGTGGAGGACCATAGGGTTGTGAGACGTCGAGGTTCCCACATTCTCTAGATAATAGGCTCACAGATGGCGGTGAGTTTGTCAGCCTTACATGTCGGATGCCCTTTACACACCAGGAAGACTCTCGGTACGAATTTCTGTTACAGGCTGAGTCGAACCTAGGATCATACTGCGGCTGGATGGATTAGGTCAATCGAAAAATCCAGTGACCTCATCGGGAATTGAAACCGCGACCTTCCAACTAGTAACATAGTGCCTCAATAAACTACGCTACCGGGTGCCCCGTCAGGCAGTATACTGCATTGTAATTTTTCAGTTGTCTCAAAATCCTGGGCCTCACTGTGCCACACAGTATTTCTTTGTAGGATATTACAACTGAATAAAAGCTGAGCAAATCGGCCAGAATGGTGTAGCGACAAAATAACCGATCATTTCTTTAGTCCCAATTCATTCATAAAATATTTTTAGAATGAAAATAAATTTAAACTTGGAGCCTTACAATCTTAATATATTTCCAGGACACGGCTTTTCACCAACTTTCGTTACTCGAATTCCCTGAAATAAAGAGTCAGGCGAGATACGCTGAGCAGCGACAGTTCCTCTTATCTAATTAATTAAAAGTTTATTTTCACTTAATTTCATTCTCTTTACATTCGGCTTGAAATTTGAATCTCAGCCACTATGAGAATTAGAGCGTTCAAACCCTCTGGGGTTTCAGCTCTGTTAGCGGGAGAGGCTGATATAAAGCAGAGCGTCTTAAGGCCTAACTGTTGAACTGTGCTGCTGCCTAGTGATACAAGCAGAAAACTTATTACGTCCATTACAACTATTTTAGTTCCATTTGCGATCTATTTATTGACTCGCCCTCATATATGCAAATATACATGCAACTGTCCATCCGTTTGTGACCCAATATTGTAAATGTTTCTGGCAAATAAATTATTATGAAACTTTGTAGAAAAGCCATGCAAACGACGGCCATCCTAGTAGCATGTCATTATCACGAATGGTTCTACAGCCTCCTTCAGGTCTTGACAGCCTTAAAAATGCCACTCCACTGCTCCCCTTCCAACGTCTTCTTCTCCCAGTTTCTAATTTGGAAAGTTCTTTATTTTTATTCGCTATCAAGCCACGT